ACCCCTCACCTGTAGTCCATGCTGACGTTGAAATTTGCCTCTTTCAGCTCTTCCAAGGTCATGAGGGTCGGGGTGTTTTTGCCAGCCTCCCATTTGGTCCATTCAAAGATTCCGGGTTCCACTCTGATCTTAATTTTTTTCTCCAGTTTGAGCTCTGGACTCAACAGAATACAGACATTTATCAACCTCAGTGTCCATTTTGGCCTTATGTCAATGAGTCTCTTCCTAGGTCTAAACCAAACCTTTGGAAAAAATGCAGATTTGTTGTTGAATGTTGTCCTGTGATTACGCACAGCCAGGACATTTCTCAGACAAAAGCCATGGGCAGCTGGAGGCTATCAGATGGGTGAGAACCCCGCTGTCCATCAGGAAGGGACAGAGTCTCCCGGGATCTGGGAAGTGCCCCACTGCCCGTCCTTGCGTCAAGGGGGACTTGGCCAAACCAAGACCCGTGGGAAAACAGCGAATCATGGGGCTTGTTAGTCCCAGGGAAGCGCCGTCCTGGTGGACGCTTGCACCGGCCTGGCAGAGCTGAAGGGGGAAAGGACTCACCTTCTGGAGCATTCTAGCCCTCACGACTCGCCCTTCCCTGGCATTGTATACCTTCACTAAGGACCCATAAACTAAAGCCGCCTCTTTTGAGTGGTGGAAAAGAGACCTTAATGGTTTTGACTGAAATGGAGAAAAGGACATTAAATGCAAATGCTCGCAGTAAAATCAATCCCCAAAATGCATTTCAGGTCCAGGAAATGGGTTCCTTTGTCAAGCATGTTTAGAAAGGACAGTTAATAACCTATCATGAAAAGGAATCGGAGAAAGAATTTACATATACATGCGCAACTGAAACACGATGCTCTACACGAGAAATGAACACAACGCTGTAAGTCTACTATGCTTCAATTAAAGCAATTTTTTTTAAAAAGAGAGTTAAGCCAGGTTGACGGGGCTCCTGGCGTCTCCTGCAGCCCATGAGGGGCTCGTGTCCACTGGGCACAGACAGCGTGAGGAAAGAGTTTGGAGAGTTTCCCAGATGACGTCGGCCCCTCCTCCTGTCCTCTGCGCCCCCCTTTGGGGAGCGGTCCACCCGGACATTGCCTGACGCGGTGCTGAGATGAAGGTTAACATTCTAGAGAAGCAAGATGGTCAGGCCGGGGGGCGCGTGAAGAAGGCTGGGTGTCCTTGCTTCTCTAGATTGACACACAGCTTCTGAATTTACGCTCGTTAAACCAGCTTCATCACCCTCATCATCGCATGCAGAGTAAAAGTCAGCGAGGGGTCACATCAAAGACATTGACATGATCACTGTCAGAACACATCATGGGAGCTTTTTATTTTCTATGCAAGAGACCCAGATAATAGAAGTCAGAGAAATTGGAACAGATGTGTTCCTAACGAGGGACCAGGAATAATGACAAAAAAAGGGTGAAGTTACGAAAAATGTTTTTGAAGCTCTCAGTTATATTCTTCTAAGGCCAAAAGAATATTCCTTCTCTCTCTCTCTCTCTCTCTTTTTTAATAATATCTTGTGGCCGTGGTTGGGAGGTTGGGTGGGCGAAGGGAGACTGAGCGCATCACTTCCTGACGGCGTGGGAGGAAGTCATCCTCAGAGACATCCACCTGCTGGCCTGGCTGGACACAGGCCATCTCATTGGCCACAGGTGGAAATCGAAGTGTTTTTTTAGGTTAGTGGAAAAGTAGCAGCTTCCTGGGTCGGTTAGAACTAAATGAGCTCATTAAACGGCGGGTATGAAGGCGGGAGAGGGCGGGGGAGATTCGAGGACGTGCCTGTCACCATTTATCATGTATCCGTGTGTGTTTCTTGCTTTCTCCTCTCCACCTCTGATTAGGACAGTGGTTGAATTAATTACAAATATATTGATCCTAAGCTATCTAGGGATAAATTCACTTCATCTCCAGTTTGCTTTGTTCCATCATGTTTACTAATAGAGCTATCAAATGGAAACACTTCTAGAGCAAACACAGCCGAGAAGGCTGGCCCAGCTACCAGGGGAAGCCCCGGCCTTCAGGTCACCACTTCTGCTCTCCCCATCACCTGCGACCAGGGGCAGGGCTGGAGGAACCACGCCTCCTTTCTTAGTCCTTCCTGAACAGAGTGGGGCCATTGATCGATCTGGACACAGAAATAGGGAGTCTGACACCAGTGGGCCTTTGTTTCCTGGGCGGGGGTCACTGCTCTGCAAAAGTAGCGATGGTACAACCTCCTTTCAATCTCTGTCCCCCAGCACTAGACTCTACCACCCTGCGGCTGAATGAAACCCCAAGGGGAGTGTGAGTGTGTGTGCGTGAGTGTGTGTGGTCGGGGAGGGAGTGAGTTGTGTCCAGAGACGCCGTTTTTGCCTCAGGGCCCCCCCTCAACCCCGTGCCATCCTGAAGCCGCACACTGGGGGTCTGGGTCCTCCCTGGTCTGTTTAGCCGCTGGGCTCATGCTTCACCTGCACTCGGCTCCATCCTGCGTCGACAGCCCTGAGTTGCAGGGAAACAATGCAATTACCATGTGAACCTCAACTTAGGAGGGCCATGGGCGTTTCTCAGGCTCAGGGACCCAGAACACTGCCAGGGGCGTGCAGGTGAGAAACGACAAACGGGGGGCGGCCTCAGGACGATATGCAGAGACACGTGGAAGGGGACTGGGATGAGATGGACTTCTCCCCTCACAAATCAGCACGTGGCCAGGAAACAGCACATCTCTCAGAAGGCAGGAAAGGAACGGACTGGCCACCAGCCTGCAGGGGTCCGGTGCAGGATCAGGCCCATCCCTGGGAGGGATTCCAGACCGCATGCAGACTCGGGAAGGCGCTTCATTAGCGAGGACACACCGGGGCTGGGCCGGTGCATGGGCTGTGGGTTCACTGTCCTTTCAACAGCTCCTCCCGTGAGGGTTTCAGCCCTACTGGTGGCCCTCTCTCTGACACTGCTCTAGGGACAGTGCTCAGCGACAGCATTATCTGCAGGATGGGCTGTCCAGCAGAAGCCTCCTGGCTCCTGGTCCCCCTCCTCCAGTGACGTGGCTTCCTCCCTGAACCTGACCTTGTCATTACCAGCAGCTGTCACCCTCTCTATGCTCAGTGTCAGCCCACCTCTGTCTCCAGCCGGCCCTCCCCTCTTTGCCACTGCGTCTCCTTCATCCTCCAACTCCAACCTTCTGCCTGGAAGCCCAGGGTCTCACTCCGTGGACTCGCCCTCCTCCCCCAGCCTCTGCCTCCCTCCTTGCGCAGCTCAGGATCTCCGGTCAGTCACCGTCGCCCTCCTGTGCACACCCTCACTCCCTCTCGCCCCTTCTGGCCTCATCACGCTTCCTTCTCAGACCCGTCCAGGGTTAGACCCGGCTCTTCCTGATTTGCCCTGTCCGTGCCTGGGGGACAGCCCCAGTCCAGCTGACGGGTCTCAGTGTAAAGTC